CAGCTACGGTATGGTGAAGGCGCTGGTTCGAAACCAGCCGAATTGAATGAATTTTTCGATTCGATCTTTGTATTAATAATCGAAATGAATGATTTACAACGCATTCTTTTTTATAGACCCGCACTAGGGAAACCCTGTATCGCGGGTGCCAAGGGCACACACATAGACAATATAAATGTAGGATATACAAATATTTCTCAGGCAGTTAAATAAATAAATACAGAACATACCGTTCTGAATCGAAATTCGTAAGAAACTTTTTGCAATTTTTGTGTAACGTTTTGAACCGCTTTTGATGACTCTTTTTTGTTGGAAAGAGGGTACCTCAGTAGTGATCCCATTTAAACTTGAAGAAAATATTCCACCTCTAAAGTTGGCAAACTAGGGAATAAATCCGGTTTCGCGCACTTTCCGGTAAGCCGGTGTCAATAAAACTTGGCAACTGGACGTAATTCCACGAAGTTTTGAGGTCGGTTTTTTAGTACTCTGTATTGATCATAAGTATTTTTTGTTGATTAATTTGACGAAGTTACCCTATTTAAAATTTGCAACAAGCATTACTTTCCTAGACATTGACTTACAAATAAATGGACGACGGGTCTAATACAAAAACCGCGAAAAAAATGTCCCAAGTCAACCCATTTAAACGTAGTGATGTAAAGGAATATGAAAAAGCTTTTAAATTGTAACGTCATCCCAGTACTGTCTAATTTTGCTTGCTTCGCTGTCAGTCAAACAAACGAAGACTAAAGCGTGAATGACGCTCTGTATACGATTTTAACGCCCCATAAGTTCGGACCCGACGTCCATATAATTGTAAGTCAATGTTCCTAGACGAACATTTCCACAAGGAGATCTAGTGCTACTAAAAATATGACATGTGACCTATTAGATTATATGTATAAAGTTCCGACAACAATATAACAAACATTCTCTAAAGTAATTTAATTTCATTAGCTACACCATTTCAGGATGTGACACAAGTTTGCCAAAGGATTATCTCATAATTCTAATAAATCTGACCTTAATTATACAACACGTTCGTCTTAGTTTGCTTTGCTCAAACTAAAATGGTCAATCTTCATACAATATTTTTTATTTGATTAGACGAGTGGTAAATCAAGTGACGGAGGTTTTTGTTAGGTCCTTCCAATTGCTGAACACGGAATCGATCTAGTATTTATTAATATGCGTAGAGCTAACACTAAACATTTGTATAAAAAGACATAAATAGTTCTTGTATGCACGCCGACTATAGATTATATTGTCTGTGATAGATACGCATAACATTACCAACATTGAATAGATAAAAACAAATAATTACGTCTTCTAGCAAACCGTGGCAGACGCTAACCAACTAAACCACGGAACGAACTAGCGGACCTCAAGAATTTTTTTCAACGAAATTGTTACATATCTATAAGGCGTCGCGTATTGAGCATCTGGCTTATTCCGTTTATTACTTACGTTTCTGTTCTATTGTCATTATAATTTTAAATATACAACAAAGAATATATATTTCATTCATTTATTCAAATTATTAAAAAGAAAAACCGACAAATTTAACCACAACCTAATTTTGTTTTTTTTAGTTTACGATTACATCTATTCAAAAATACATCATATTACCGTTGCACCGTAGTTATGTAAGTCGCTTAATCTTCAGTGTTAATTAGCTTTACGTTCTTTGTTATGTTTACTTCATTAATTTAAATATTTCGTTTAAAAAACCTTTATGTAACTCAATTATCGCTGCTGCTTCCGTTTCGAATCTGATTTAACAATTTGTGCAATTATAATATAAAATTATGAAAAAAGAGATAATTAACCTACCAATTGAGAAAGTGAAGGGTCTAATTAACTTGTCCTAAGTATGTAGCATAATGGACGACGTTATCGGTGTTTCATATATACAGGAGTATTTGTATGCATAATTAATAATTGTTTCATGACTTTTTACTAAACATACAATAAATTTACCAAAAATAAACTTTTAAGTTTTTGTTGTACTATCTGACACTTTTTAGGTCTATATTTAATTTTGGTATCAATCGTGCAAGCGTCCTCACAGAAATCTAAATAAGATTTCTGTGGTCCTCCTCAACAACTCTGACCTTTGGTCCTTTTTGTTACTTAAATATTTTTATTTTAAATTTTAAAAGGAAGACTCAACTTTCGGGTGATGAATGTTTTATGTATGTTCACCGATTTCTCCGTCACAATTGACGGATTTTGAAAATTTTTTCTTTGTTTGAAAGGGTATATAATCGAGGTGGTCCCATTGTCAGCAAATCAGAATCTGATGAGGGGATTCCATGGAAATTGAGCAAAATCCTCAAGTTATAAAATATTTTTCGCTTTTTAGTGTAGTGACTTTGTGTGGTTTTTGAAATTGGTTGATTTTTTTTAAAGTTTGTTTTATTGTATAAAAGTAAAATCTGATGCATTATGAAAATTAATTGAACTAAAGTTGTTGTTTACGATAGTCCTGGGAGGTTGTTAGGATTTTAAAAATAACCCTTTATAATTCATTAAATCTAGTTACGGTGCTAGTAATGTAACTTAGCCTTAGCGAAATGATAATGCAGAACACTCGGTCAAGAAAATTTATTGTAAGAGATGATATAAGAGGAAAAGAAAGCTGTAGCAACATTGACTTATAATTATATGGACGTCGGGTCCGCGCTAAAAAGTGTCCGCACTTGTAAGGCGCTAAAATCGTATACAGAGCGCCAAACTCCGCTTTAGTCTTCATTTGTTCTACTGACAGCGCGATACTGCGATGACATTACAATTTAAATTTCGAATAGGTTGACTTGGGACATTTTTTTCGTGGTTTTTGTATTAGACCCGTCGTCCATTTATTTGTAAGTCAATGTGTAGCAAACAATAAAATTGTAAAATATTCCCTATGAAAGTAACTAAAAATAAAAATACTCACTCCAAAAGGGCCTAAAAATAACTAGTATAATTTTAATAATAATCGACGTGACTTTTTCGACGTGGTTTTACAAAAAGGAAATGAAGCCTATTTGTGATTTATGAGCATGTCGTCTAGTTTCAAAAATTTTCATGGAAATGACAACAGATAGAACAAACGCTAGGATAGTGAAGAAACAGAAAATTCGAGAACGATTCAAAATTTCAAGAACAAGTGGCCAGTAACCATAAAAGAAGAACATAAAAAGGTGAGATGTTGATATAGGAGGTCAGTATCGTCACAATATTTAAGCTTATAATATGTGCTAGACATAAACAAACTGTTTACTCAGTAGGTGTTTACGTTGTATGTTATTAATTCTACCTGGTATGTGTTACCAGTCATAAAGTAGGTGTCCATATGCTACCAGTATTTCAATATATAATTTGATTTTTAATAAAGAAACATATGACGTCATATTTTTACGTTATATTTTTATTTTGCAAATGTTCGCATTGAGTCCGTTTAATATGCTATGGTATCTTGCTTGTCTCTCAAAGGCAATAAGATGTGGCCATCTTAGGGTGAAAACCTTCTTTAAACGTTTAGTAGCTGTAGAGCACCTTGTGAAAGAGTTCGTCCAGCAGCAGTAAGCAGCAGTCATTTAAGCATTATTACAATACGGTTTTGAAGGGTGATGGTGTTCGTGAAATTACAGGCAAATGGGATTGGTGACGTGCGCTACGCAGTGCCATTCAGATCTTTGCGTTTAAAGTTCTGAGAGGCAATACAACTGTTATGGACAGGCGTGTCGCTTACCACGTCCCGCCACTTGGTATCATAAAAATACCTCAACTGCGCATTTTCACATAGTTCAGTTTTATTGATTTTTGTTGAAGCAAACCTAGCTCGTTGTATGCAAAGATGTATCTCGCACGTATATTGAGTAAGTAAATGTAGGGTGCCCAAATAATTATGTTTTACGTCTTGTATTTATTCTGCACTAAACCAAATTACTACAAAGGGATTTAACGTTATTACTTTGGTATTACAATGGCTATGGCTTTCATTTTTGAACAGTAAACATTAATTTGTGTTGTCTACGGACTGATAACAATAGATTCTCGTAAATCACACTAATTTGGTTGGTAAATGTCGTATTTACGCCGATTTAATTTGGCCACTAAACTACCAAAATGGAAACTCATAATCCAATGCTAGTTACGCGTAATTGCACTATCTTCGATGATAATCTGTAATTAGTGACAATCTAGGTAACACATTTAAAAAGGTTCTATTTTTCTATTTCTGGTTTAACAATATAGGTTTTTGTTTAATTGAGCAGCAGGTATGTAGAAAAGAGTGGCTATACCCCAGAAGTTTGCTTTTGTGGACAGCCACATTGGTATTTACATAGCCGCCCATTTACATAGGAATTTAATGGTGTTCACATAATCTAGCAAATCTACATATTTGTAGGTTTTTATCATTCGTTTGTACAATTTTGGTTCCAATGTACTTTTAATTTGAAATATAACGTTCTTTTTTGTTTTTAAATAAGGAGAAACCAGAAAATTTGTAGGTTTCCTTAATGGTATGCAAATTTCAAGTTTTCGATATCCTGACCTGCAAAGTTTTTGCAAGGAAATAAAGATTTTTTCATGTTTTTACGCCAGAAATTACGCTAGCAATGCTTTTTAGAGTCATTTTTCGTAGTTCGTACGGAAATTTTGTTGTACGATTAACATAAAATGTATATAGATTCGCAATTGGAAATGACCAATCTGCCAGTTGCATAAACTGACCGAACCCAAGCCTAGGTTTCGAAATCCCATACTCGACGGAACAAGTTTCTATCATATAAATTAAATAGTAAATTATATTATGCAAATTTAAGTTCCGATAATTCACAGCCAAAGTAAATTTACAATAAAGACAAATATTATTAAAATAAAACGAACACGTACAAATTCCAAATTTGAAAATTGATACAAATAAAATACGCGTTGAAAAAAAAAATAGACGACCTATTCAGCCAGGTCTTGTTCGAGGTATTAAATGAAAGAAAAAAACAACTCACGGTTTACAATTCGCAAGAGGCACTAACACTAAAACAAACTTAATACGTTCTAAGACGATTAATAGCGTCTGCCGACGCTTGTATCTTTGCGATAACTGACCTCGCCACTCTCTCAGTGTGGTTGAGAAATGCTGCACCTAGCTGACACACGGCCTGGTAGTTGAACAAACAATGACATAATGACGTTTTTATGCAACATTTATTTCTAGTGATACAAAATAATGTGTCATAATGTGTTACGTAGATATCTGATGCTATTGAAATTTGGCAGTTCTAAAAACAGATAAGATAAGCGCGGTCTCACTAAATCTCGACAAAAAGTCTCCCATGACTCAGAGCCATGGTGATCATACTACTATTTTCAATATGTATGCATTATTGTATTTGTAACCTTACAGATAGGCTTCAGAATACGTCATAATAGCAAATGGAATGTTATTTGCATCTAAAATATGTGCCTAGATATGTTTTGTACTTCCGTATGGAAAGATTGTGAAAAGATAAACTCTTTCATTATATATAAACAGACGTGATTAATTAATGTTGCTGCTTCTTGCCATCTCATTTATTTATCTACTTGACATACCAACAGAATTGCGCACGTACTTATTTGATTTTAGAGAATTGGAGTCTAAAATATAACACACTTCTATTCAGAGTATGTTGTATTTTATTATGAATGGACAGAGCCATTGGTAAATATGTGTTACACGATAATAATGGGCCGGTATAATTCTTTTTTTAAACTATGTTCCTGACGAAATAGATGATTTTGAGATAGATATATGATTACACAAAAGATTGCATGTTACGTTGTTTTTATATGTGTTACAATTATAGTTAAAATATTCACTATACCAAAATGCTGATTTATTGTACCTTTTTTATAAATAATAGACACACGCTTGGTCGCAATGGTCACTTGATATTAAGGGACGATGTGACAGACGATGGTAAGCGTTTGCCTAAAAAATGCCTATTCACTCTAGCCTTGAATAACCCCAAATTGTACTTTTCGGGAAACACAGATGCCGGTGGAGTATTCCATTCATTTACCGTACGCATCTGAAAGGAGGAAGCAAAGCGCTTAGTGCGAAGGGATGGTGTATGAACGACATAAGGATGGAGTGTTCCGGACCTTCTAGTCGACCGAAGGAGGAACGGTGAGGGTGCAACCACATTGAAAAGTTCCTGCTCACACTCCCCGAAATGTATATGCTTAGTTAAAATTTAAAATTGCACACACGTAAAAAATTCTTCTTCTTTTCTTCTTTTTATCATATCGTTGGCCAATGTCAATCGGCATAAGGTACTCGCCGATTTTTGCCCAGAGTACATCATATGTACAGGAAAGAAATGCGGGGAGGTTTCTATCGGGCTCCATATTTTTTTTTTTATAATATCTAGTGACGGGACGAACAAGTCGCGCGCCTGATGGTAAGCTACACGCCTGTCCATAACAGTTGCAGTGCCACACAGAGCTTTAAATCGCAAAGATCTGAGTGGCACTGCCACTGCGCCAGTCACCCTGAGACATACTCGTACGTTGACAAGTCCCATGTGCTTGTAATTTCACCAGCACCCTTACCCTTTAAACCTGAACACAGTAATGCTGACATTACCGCTTGGTGGCAGAAATAAGTAAGGTGGCCTTTATTCCCTGGACGAACTCTTTCACAAGAAACTCTACTGCTACTACATATAAAACTAATATAAAGTATTAATTAAATTTTTATTGAATTGATATTCAATTATTTTTTGTGAAATTACTCCACTAGTTTGTTATAATTATTAATACAAAGATCGAACACTCAGAAAAAGCACTCAGAAAAAATTCCTTCGACCGACTTCGAGTCCGACCGGATCGAAGGAATTTTTTCTGAGTGTTCGATCTTTGTATTAATAATTATAATATAAAGTATTTAATGTAATTTGATAGTGTAAATGCATAAAATATTAAAAATAATATATAAAATAAAAAAATAGTCTAGTAGCCTAATGGTTGACCTACCGCCTCCCAAAGTGGGTACGAATCCGGCCTCGTACCTTATTTCTCGGAATTTATTTGCGAAATTCAATTTGAAACTTACCAACAGCTTAACGTGAAGGAAAACATCGTATCAAACCTGCACGTCGAAGAAGGTTCACAACTCTCGGAAAACGTGAGAAGTCCCCAAACTGCATTAGGCCAGCGTGGCGGACTTTTGGCCTGAACCTTGGCCTTAGAGGAGACCGTGCCCAGCATTGGGACCAGTACATGGGTTGCTGATGATAATAATATAATAAATTGATTTTTGGTGAGCACGAACGAACAAGATGAATTCAGGATTCAATCCAGATAAATCCAGGATTCAATCCAGATAAATCCAGTGTTTATGAATGCAGTCTTCTATTTACTCTTTGTAGTTGCTCACTCATTGATTCATAATAATTCATTTGATAATTAAAAACGCATTTGTTCCACACGTAAAAATAAAATTACTCACATGTTCACCTTTCTAACTGTACGTGAGTCTCATATGGAATTAGAATGGAAAGTTCAATAAAAATGAATGTTATAGTCGTACATTACTAGAGCATAACTACCTTGCAAGTGTTATATTTTTAGGTATAAAAAAAACTTAATTATTTTTAGGTTTCGTAAAACGTACATGGTTGTGGAATACTAACTCTGGCGATTACTTATTTACTCAAGTAAATGTTAAGTTGTATACCTACTTATGGCTGTTTTCTTGAATAAATTAAAATAATAAGATTGTTAATATTAAATGCTAATTACTTTAGAGTAGGACGAAAGAGTTCGTCCAGGAAAGTACTGTCACTTTACCTATTTCTGCCGCCAAGAATGGTCACATTACTGCGTTCCGATTTCCGACTTGAGAGGCGATAGGTCCATACCATTGTCATTAGGCTACCACATGGGTAGGGTTTTTTATAACACTAAGTGACAGGACAAACAAGTCGTGTGTCTGGTGGTAAGCGGGTTGCAGTGCTACTCAGATCTTTATATCACAAAGATCTGAGGAGCACTGCCACTGCGCCCGACACCCTGAGGCATAAGTTGACAAGTCACATGTGCCAGTAATTTCACCAGCACTTTACCCTTCAAAACCGGAACACAGTAATGCTCACATTACTGTTGAGCGACAGAAATAGGTGAGGTTTTTCACAAGAAGCTCTACTGCTATAGTAATCATATTTAATTGTGATCACTTCTATTTTTTTCCATGTTGTCGATAATAACGTCTACTGAAGTTTTGCATTGTAATTTATAAACTGCATGTTCGTCAATAGTGTACAATTGACATTGAAAAGGTAATCATCGGTATTTGTAAGAAACGGAAATGGATGATTGCTCGACAATGAAATTATTGTAAATATGCAATCGTTGCGAAATGACTACTTCATAAATTAATTCTTCAGTAAATAAACACAAGGATAAATGTAAGTTATGACTATGAGATATTTATGACATTTTTTGAATAATAATTTTATTTTAAAATTGTACTTCTTAACGCTACCACTTCACACGCAGTAGAGCCCGTTGTAAAAGGATATGGGCGCGTACCCATTACGTCTGACGACAGATAGTCGTGCAGTTTAAAGTGTCGTGACTTGTACATTTAAACGAAGTTGTTCACACATAGAGCAACACGATTATCTGTCGTTCACGACTTTTTGACATTACGACGACAGATTGTCGTGACAACGGGAAGAGCTAGAACGACAGTCGTCAGACGATAAATGAAACGTCACGTCACGTCACGTCGTGCAAACGAGAAGGCGGCTACCGTGAACCGATAAATTGTTATCGTCACAATCTAGTGGGAACAGCTAGACGCGACAGTCGTTCAAAGATAAATAAAACTTTACGACATAATGGGAACGCGTCCCGTAAAGGGTGCTGGAGAAATTACAGGCACATGGGACTTATCAATACATGTCTCAGGGTGACAGGGTGAAACTTACGTATATAAAACATAAAACGTTTATTTCAGTAATACAATTAGCTTCACATTAACAGTGGATGGTATTATATATTTTATATAATATACTTATACTTAATTTAGTGTTTAATTTTACATTTCCAAACAACGTCAAAACAAACAATTTTAAATTCTAATTTTAAATGAATCTTAAAACGTGTGTGCGTGCGTGTGTGTGTGTGTGTGTGTGTTATACCTGTTGCCGTAGGATTAGGAAAGTAGTGTTTTTAAAGCAAGTGTTCTAATAGATCTACGGTTTCCTCTTGCGATTTCGACTATAGCCATTTTGATATTACTTTCTTGCTTTTGGCGTATATTTCTAATTCTTTATTAATTAAATTGTACAAATGGGCCGAACGTTTGTTAAGTTGTCTGTTTGCAAATGTTGTAATTACTTTAGTTACTTGTACCACATTGTTTCCTTCTTCTTTTCGAAATATTTAGATCATATTTTAGAGACCTGTGTAGTCTGAGTACAGTTTGAGTGATGTAGAGTTTGCTTCCAGTGGCTAAATTTGATAGTTGAGACAAACTGCTAGTGGAAAATCGTCTTATTTTTAAAATACATACTTTAAGCAAATTACTTATGGAGTGTTACGTTTCGGTATAAAGCCCCTGATGTTGAGTGAAAATAAGATATTTGATGTTACGCATTTGTCTATCAAATACTTATTCAATCTAGGTTTGTACAAATTCGTATCCTTGGTTCTTTTTATCGTATCTATGGCATACGTCGCCCCGGATAGCTGAAAATCAACGCCACGAAACGGTATCAAAAAACCATTTGTGGCTAAAGCTGAGCAAGTTCCGACTGCACCAGTCGCGAGTCCCTATCCACCGACCCGAGAGATAGGGTTTTCAGGATAGACTACGGGCTCGACGGCAAGACCAGGGTACGGCGGGCGTCCGGGCCAATCCCTCCGCCAGTCATATCACGGGCGTCTCTGGCGGACTCGGACTTGGGGTTTGTGGTTGGCTACAGGGAACGGGTACGTTCGTCTGCCCCGGTGGTGTGTGACCGGGGCGTTCGTCTCGCGCACAGCTAGCGCGTCTTAGTATCCAGGGCTAGGACCTAACTTAGACCGACTGTTCGCTCGCACAGGTCATAGTGCCCTTCCCGCGTAACCAAGAGGTTGATAGGGAGGCGCATTATAAATAAAACTTATGTGGAAAGATATCGGCTAATTGAGTGTGTGCGTTATTATTATTTACTTCATTCTTCTCAGCTTGTTATTACTATTATTGTTATTATTAATTTAGACCTTTCTAGCAAACATAACAGCTTGGTCACAATCACTAAACTGCTCTAAACGTTAGGTAGCTTGTAAATTGCTATGTAAAGAAAACTATAAAAATATGAATCGAAAATTTATATCCTGCAGTTGTTTGGCAAATTTTAATTATTATTGTTTGAATTAGTATAGGATTTCCCCTGATTTTTTTGCTACGTCACGCCACAGCATCTTGTGGTTTGAATTAGCATAAAAGCACGATTCATATAGATCGCTCGTATTAAAATAAGATTATTCGTATCGATACATGAATCATAAGAAGTTTCGATTCCAATTTTTAATCGGAATTAGAGTACAAATACATCATTATTATCACTAATTATAGGTTTCTTACTTGAGTTATTTTTATTTTCCCCGATATTCCGGAACGGTTACACGTTACACGGGTTAATGCTATAAGACTGTGATACATCGAGATACGTTCTATCCTCCGACAGCGACTCCACCTATGATACTTCCGCCAACAACAACGTGCTTGAAACTCCGACTTTGAGTGTAAACTTCGATGCGTCCACCTATAACTACTGTGGCTTAACCACCAACGATCATTGTAATTGGCTTTGGCCGTGGTACACAGCCACCTGATAGCTACGATACATATGTATCAGGAAGTTTTTGCCAGATAGGTTGGCTTTTAAATAGTAGGTAAATACTTTTGTATTACCTCTGAGTTTTTCGGAATTTATGTGCGAATTTTAATTTGAAATTTACCACGAGCTTTTTGGTTAAGGAAAACATTGTGAGGTAACGGCATTGCGTGCAATTGGAGGACCCGGATTTCTTCGGCCTAACCTTGGTCACCGTTCTGTCAGAGGCCTCCAGCGGCCCTCACCACGTCTAACCATGTCTAAAGATGTCCAACCCCGTTCCATTTTCAATTTACCATAAGCTTTTCGGCGAAGGAAAACACTGTGAAGAAATATGCGCACGTTTGCAAAGCACTTTAATAATGTGTGTGATGTTCCCAACCTGCAATGGGCCCCCGTGGGAACTACGGGCTGCGCCCTCCTATAGTTAGAGGAGACTTGAGCCCAGCAGTGGGACTATATGTAGGCTAACTATAAACATTTCTATTAGTACAATAAATACACTTTTGTGTTGCTACTACTTTTCAAAACTCAACGCAAGGGTACATTGACCTTCTCCAATCCTGGTCTTTTTCCTCAATTAAAATCCACTGCTATTAGATCTGATTAGGTAAAAAGCATTAATAATAAGTTTCTTTTATAAATTCATGTTTAATAATTGAACAGAAATTCCCCTTACGTCAGCGACGACGCAAAAACTGCAAAGTTGGTAAAAAGTTCTTTTGTTTATCGAAAAAAATACACACGCATCATCAGTACCCGAGTCCAAGACAAGGTTACGATCGGATTGGACATAGAGTAACTGAACGACAGAGATTCTTTATCATTCTAGCAGTACTATATAACAGTACAGTGATGTCAGAATGACGTCATTGTATACTATTAAGAATAAATCTTACCGATCCCTGCTTATAGTCAAATATTGCGATAAAAATGACAAATAAAACAAACGCAATTTGAATTGCAATCTCTAGGAGAAATCTGTATTGCAATTACGACCATATTTTTCATATAGCGCACTTTACACCGGTTTAACTAGACAAAAAAAGATTTACTACTGAAGAAGAACAGAAATGGATCTCTATTGAACTCAGAACTTCACGCATTCAGGATATAACATTGTACATACAATAGTGTAGTAATGTAAATGTAAATTTACACTAATAAATTTCAACTGCTTTATTATTGAATTTACCTTATGAAATCCACGTGTGAAAGACAAAGCTTCGTATTTTTTTAATAATTACATCGTTCGACTCTCCAATGAGTAGTCCGGTAATAACGTAGCAGTTATCTCGTGATTGAATTTGCTATATACGTTGGAGTTGCAGAACTTGAACAACTGCATTTTTTTACACTGCACAAATTGATGATTACGTACCCAGGAAACGTTTGTTGTTCCCATTATGTATTTGAATCAACAATGAGATGGTTTTGTGCCTATTAACAAGTGGTCAATGGCCATCTTTAATGCATTGTGTTTTATTATGACGGTATCAGCGGGCTCAGCAATTGGTATTGTATGAAAAAATCCCAGCTTCGAATGTGAGTCGTATCAATAAAAAAAACTAATTTTCGTAAATTGGTTTTCGGACTGGTAGTTCCGAGTTGCGTCTGTAGTAGATGCGGTGGTATAAAATTGTATGCACACATTCAAACAAGATAGAATGTATTATAGTCTTCCTAACGACTGTTTCATATTAGCTCTCGGCGTGTATGAATCACCATGTCGAATTTTGTCTTAAATGCCCGATTACAATAAGAGCAATAAAATTGGCCCCCAGAGTTGAAAGTATAGGTATAGGAGGACTGCGATCTGTCTTACGTATTTGGCGTTTCTCTTTTAATGTTTCGAGCTTTTGTTCGACTGTTTTTACATTTTAATACATAGTAGATGACCATAGTAGAAGACCAAGACGACCTATGTGAAGCGAGCCTCTCTCAACCCATGTAGTGCCTAGGTGCAGTCAATACCCTGGTTCATGCGATCAAAATGGAATACTTACTACAATATTTTCCCCATCATCATCATCAGCCTATCGCAGTCTACTGCTGGACATAGGCCTCCCCCAATGTGCGCCATTTCGTCCGGTCCTCAGCTTGTCGCATCCATTTCCCGCCAGCAACCCTTGGCAGGTCGTCACTCCGCCTGGCCGGAGGGCGTCCTACACCACGTCGAGTCGCGGTCTCCACTCTAGAACTCGTTTTCCCCATCGGTTATCGGTTCTTCGACAGATATGGCCAGCCCACTGCCACTTCAGCTTGCTTATTGCTCGAGCTATGTCGGTGACCTTAGTTCTCTGTCGGATAACCTCATTACGAATTTTTATCCTTCAGAGAAACTCCGAGCATAGCTCGTTCCATAACAAGCTGAGCGACTTTAAATTGGTGGACTGCAAAAATTGCATTTGCATTTTACATTGATGTTGGGAAGTAATAGTACGTTTACTCCACTTGCGCTCGACACCGCCTTAGACCTCGCGTCCGTGTGCGCTGCACATCCTTTTATTTATGATACCAAGTAACGGGACGAACTTGCATGACTTGTCATGCGCTAGATGGTAAGCGACACGCCTGTCTATAACAATTGCAGTGTCATCAGAGCGTCAAAACGCAAAGTACTTCCCTGGATGAACTCTTTCACAACGGGGCTCTGCTGCTACTAAATCCTGCATCATAGGTAAAGCTGGCACTGTATACCAATAAAAGTCCATATTTATAACCGAAAAAAAATGTGAATTCTACTTTATTTGCATGTAAAGTACAATATTTAATATTTAAGTTGAGTTTTTGCTTGCTGTGTGTGGCTGGTCGACTAATGGTGGATTGAAAGAAGAGATTCGTAATGAAGCGTTTACACTAGCGCGCACATGCGACTTGTCAACTTATATTTCAAGGTGAATCGGCCGCAGTGGCAGCGACCCTTAGTTCTTTGCGAATTAAAGCAAAGACAATGTAAGGACTGTTGGGCGATTGGGCCGCATTCGACAAGCGACTGTTGACCAAATAAGTTTCAACATTGGATTCGCGTCGCACCACGGCTTTACGTGCTGGGGGCCAGAAATACAACCTTCCTGATCAGTTTGTTGAACGTTTCGTATGATTTGTTGGGTCTCTGTACATAAACTTGTATTTATAATAACTGGTAGTTTCGGCGAAGGTGGCAATCGACACTGTGTAGGTACAGTGGACCACGGCATTAGTGCTGTAATTTTCTTTTTCAGCCGCGCTATTATTCCTATCTAATAATGAGGTCTGACTTCTTACTCTTTGTCTGCAATCTGGCTTAATTGGACGCAGCGCTCTTTCAAACAGGTGTTGAGTGTTATCATTTTACTGGTTATATTTTGCTAAAAGTATGGTTTCCGTATAAATTGGATCCTATTTTTGTTTAATTATTATACTTTATAAAGCTAATAAAGCATAATTGCAGGAGTTTGACGATCTCCCTGCCTATTAAGGCGGCCTGACACAGACCGTAGTTTTTTTAAAGCGAATCGCACAGCCAACGATAGCCACACACCTCCATCATAATCTCTGATCAATCATCTTGACTCTTCTGATCCGATGGCATTTCACTACAAAAATTTATGTAAGAGGAATGGTTAAATAGAAGGAATTGGATAACCTCTAAGTGTTAATTTAAGTAAATACACAATTAAAAAAAATATTTTATTAATCATACTTTGCCGTATAAATCTATGTTTAAATCAAACTAAATATCACATTATTTGAATTACCAACCAGTGGCAAAGTATTTGTAGAAAATTAAAAAAGAAACACAAAATCAAAAAATATTTATCACAAACACAAAGTACCTGCAATAAAAATATATTCGTGAACAAACCGTAATCGTTTCTAATTGCAGGAATTAAAAACACCTACTTAGAAAAAAGAAAAAGGCGATAAAATAACATTTTGTACTAAACAATTGTCCTAACATGTCAAATATTCTTTAGTCTTTTATTATTTCCTCACATTGTTTGAAAAAAGCAATATGTAAGCCTCGGCGGGAAGGGTGTTAATTTGACTTGTACTAATATGAGTTACAAGGCCGAGTATCTAACTACGAGTATGTAACTCATACTCGTCCAGCTATCCCTTACTTTCGGCCTCTGCAATATAAAAATATAATGTATTATATTCTCACATATGGTTTTTAACCACATCTTAATATTAAAACCTCCAAATTCTATTATAACCTGCTAATACTAATACGATCTTCACCTTACTATTCTAACAATTTGTAATTTTGTTGAGTTGGATACTCCACACATCTGTTTAAACTAAATCACAATCTCCACCTACCAATCCTATATTATTTATCCCCTAAATAGTCATTGACAGCATTTGATGCCAAACGCATGGAAGTGCAAATATTTCATTGTAACAAAAGTTGCAAAGAAATTGAATTTAACGTCCACTGTAACAAGAATCTCTGCCGAAACAAGGTCAGACGCGCGGCAGGTCGACTAAAGCCCGGCACCCACTAACGGGAAGAATCGTCAGAGGATTTTTAGGCGATGAAAGGTAATACACCTTAAAGTTATGGCATTATAATTGAAATTTCAGTGATAATGGTCGTAGCGGTATTAACAAAGCTGCTTAGGGATACCGAGCTGCCTCCTCAGCATACCTTGAGACGCTTCGGCAAACTTCGGAGTATGTGCAGTGTGCAACTATGTGGGAATGCGTGGCAAAGGGAGGCACGTAGGGCAAGTCTGATCTAAAGAGAGCCCAGGCGCGAGAACGATGTCGCGACAGAATGTTTCGGCATGTTAAGGGCATGGTGCGCACCATGCGCTCCGAACAGCAATAGACGTTGCAACCTAAGCGCGCGCACGCGCATGACGCAAATAGTATACGCGAGGTTCGCGTGTCGTTAAGCTACGTCATTCAATTGTCAATTGTTGCGTTACATATAAAATGCAACCAAACTGTTGGCGGATGCGTCCGTACAGTTTTTGTGCTCATTCATTAACCAGTCACATGTGCACGTCGTGATTATTATAATTTGAACGCGAACCACTTGCTAACCAATCGCGATCATGGCCAAATGTGTCCATACTTTGTTTCTGATGCACGCAAAATCCAACTATTCGTGCGAGTGCGCAGGTGTAGATCCGCCTTAAGGATGCTTGAGCAAATCATATACAGCACAAACTCTTCGGTTAGACATTCCGTAATTAGAATTTGATAAGAAGTAATTGGTAGGTGCAAATCGTGGATATAAGTATATTTTAATCAATGCGGAGTTGTCTGAAAGAACCATCGATGCCAAAAAGTTCGTCGTAGTTTGTTGGCTTCCCCGGCCGCAGTGCTTCATTGGCTATCATTGACTCTTGTTCTTTAAACCATTGTTTATAGCTCCTGAGCTTCTCGATCCAGGCATCTGAAAATAATTTTGACCATGACTGATATGAAACGATGATTTAAGAAGTCACAAAATCCGCATCGATTGGCTTTGTAATCTCATGATCTTGCCATGGTCCTGTTTAGATACAATGTCTTGTGCCACACCAATTACCTGGTCTCAGTCTAGGGAATTCCCTGTACTTTAAGTACCAGAGGAACAGAATTCACTCCGGAGCATTATCCGGAACAAACAAAAAACCAATGCAGAAAGGTTAATGAACCCGGGACCTTCTCAACCAGTGTCCACAGTTTTATTATGAAAACTAAGACGGTTATCACACATTATAATATAAAAAGTGCTAGTCGTGACGCGGTCGAGAACGTTGCACTCAACCCCTGAAGAAGACCATCGAAACTAGTCGGACCGCTTCAGACTAAAATACTACGCGAGTAAATCCCGTTACTTTTATATTATAAAGTGTCCACAGTGCAATCGTTGTGCCACCGAGGTCGTCAAAACATAAACAGAAAGCGATGAAGTCTCCAAATTTACAATTCTAATGCGACTAACAGTAAAGGTGGCCTCTATAAGGTGAGGATTACGTAGATTAGATTAGAGGTGAGGTTTAGTAAATAAAACCAACTTCAAAACCAGCATCTAGGTCTTGAAGTTGGTTTCCTTTCCCGTTAAATGATATGATCTAAAATTAAAGAAGAGGACCTGAACCAGATACCTCCTGTTAAGATGCGTCATATCTCTTCTACGTGGAGCGCACTATAAGTTTCCAGAATGAATAAGAAAAAAATACTATAAATGGTCAGAAATGAATTTATTGTTTCTCAAAATATTCTCCGTTAGCGTTAATGCACTTTTTCATACGAATGAACCAATTTTGAAAACATTTATCAACTCCTCCGTGACAATCTTTGAAACATATTTTTCATACTCTTCGACAGCCTCTTCAGGTGATGAAAATCGTTGAACGCGTAACTGGTTCTTAATTTTTGGAAATAAATAGAAGTCACAAGGTACCAGGTCGGGGCTGTACGCGGGATGGCTCATAAGGTCAACGTTATTTACCTTCAAAAATTCATTTGTCTGTCTGGCCGTGTGTGAACTGGCATTACCGTGGTGCAAGATGATACGGTATTACGGTTATTTTTACGGAGTTTGTTAATAACTTTCGGCAAACAAATGGTCGTGTACCAATCACTATTCACGGTACAACGATTCTCCAAAGCAACAGTAGCCACGTGTCCAGTTTCATTAAAAAAAGAAGCAATCATCCGCTTAGAGGTACTTTGCACGCGCGCCACTTTGATTGGTTTCGGCTCATGTTGAAAGACCCATACGACCGATTGCTGCTTTGTTTTGGGATCGTAACTATAAATCCATGTTTCGTCATCTGTTACTATGTCCCACACCAAATTTGACGCCCCTTCGTTGAATCTGGTAATCATGGCATTGCACCAAGTGACGCGATCCGTTTTTTGAACCTCAGTCACAAATTGTGTCGGATCCACCGAGAGCACAGCTTTTTCACACCCAAAACGTTTGTGTAGTATTGATTGTATTTGACTCATACCTATGCCTAAAGATGCCCGAATCTCATGGTATGTCACATGCCTGTCTATTTTGATCATACGGCGCACAGCATCGATCTTTTTGTTGTTCACAGCAGTGGACGGGCGACCATCACGAAATTCGTCACTGAGATTCACACGACCGCGTTTGAATTCTGTAAACCAGCTATAAATAGTCGTCTTGCATGGTGCTTCATTGCCAAAAGCAGTTTAAGGCCTAGTGGAGCTCCGCTGAGCTGTTAAATTACACTCAAAGTCGTAGAAAATCATACTTCGAAAATTTTCACGAGTTAAATCCACGGTGATGTAGACAACCAATTTCTAAAACGACGCTACAGTGTCAAAACAAGTGCCAGCCAGATGAAACAAACTGTATTCTACAGCCAAAGAGTTCCATTTTCAAATGTTTCAATTACTTTTTAAATATTGTTTATGTAAGTGGCCAGTTCCGAAAACTTATAGTGCGCCCTATGTGCTACCGCCTGATCAGAATTCCAAGCAAAATATTGGTGAACTTTTCTATGTAGCATAATTTTAAATTTGTTGGCTCAGTCGATATACACCCGGAGCATAATAATTTTAATTAGAATTGATACACATAGACACCCCCGGCAGATCTTTTACGTAAAGTAGATTCTACAATTGGAAACAGAGAGGTTTAGTTATCCAGTACTGAGTCTTTATTGTACCAATTTAAGTTAAATATTTTGTGATCTTTGAACCGGTTTAGTTATTCAGTTCAGAGTCATATTGTTCAAAATAAGTTAACTATCAAGACGTGATCTTTGAACTAGTTGAGCTTACTCCAATTATCTAAATAATAATCGATAGTTCAATTGCAATTGTAAATTGGACGTAGTTAAACAAAAATCCAATGCACATACAGTCATTTTCGAGATATGGCAGTTTAAAGTTTAATAGTGTTCCTCACTCTTCTTTTATTTTCAAAACTTATAATGTCATGTAACTCCAGAGAAATTTATTTAAGTTTATATGTTGGATGTTTTTACTGATCTAAGAGGTTAGACTTTAGGAACCATTTGGTACATATAACTCATTTTTAATGATTTTGTGGATTGGATCCTTTTTGCTTATCAACATCCAGTTAACTTTCGAACCTGATGGCCATTAAAAAGCAGGAACCGGGAGGAAGTGTAGTCGCTCAACGCGTTGCGGTTGTCGGTTGGGGACATTGGCAACTTGAGACAACCGGTACAAACTTGCTAGTTTCTAGTTGTGTCAATTACCAATTAATTTAATGGCAGATTTCGGCAATCAAAAACTGTCGTCGAAACTCTCATCTGAAATGGGTGGGTCTGGGTGGTTTCACGAAGTTATATGAAAAACGTCATAAATAGGTAGTTGCGGGTTGCCAATTGCCGGAACACAAGGATCAATTTTGCTTCGTCTGCGTAGCGCCTTAAATAACATCATTTCTATTCCTCTGGTATTCATAGCAGTAGGCATTGAGACCAGATGGTTTGGTGTGATTTCATATGGTCAGAGATGGGCATGCGCCAGGCGTGTTGTGCAATCGAGTTACCCATTAACGCTCGAAATCGAGAGCAAAAACTATATACAACTAAATATTTGTAAATCGAGTTTTGTTCAAATGTAATGATATTATTACAAAACGTTTATCGCTTACTCACATACCGATTTTTTGACTTTCTATTGAATCGACTCGCTTGAAAATCGCATTGAAATGAATCTATAGGAAAAATCAAATCAATTTTCATAAAAATGGAATCGTATTGCATCCTTAGTGATAAATGAGAGTTCACAGGATAGCAAGGTTGATATTGTGTGGAGTTGCCTCTTTTACATCTAAAAAGAGTTTTACATGGAAATCATTAATAAATATAGAATTATATCAACTTCCGTATTACTTGATACTTGCTGCAACGGGCTGGTATCCGCAACTCGACGTCAAGGCAACTTCCGTATTATTTTACACATATAATGGTTTCCGCCTGCGATTTTGGACAGATTTCTGCCCAAAATCGTTAAAATCCAGTGCTTTGGGTAAAAACTCGGTTAAATCCTGGGCGGGTTTGGTAGGTTTGTAACTCACCCCTCCAGCCTGGAGGGAGAGTCCCCGCATAACCCCTGAGTCTCCCTGGGCTCAGGGGTATCCATAAAGATTTCCCCCCGACAAAAAAAAAAAAAAAAAAAAAGGTTTGTAACTCACCGCCCATCTCTGAATATGCACCTCCGCACTCATTTCTATTTCCTCTCTGTTCTAAATTTTCGTCTACCAATGCCAGCTTAACTTATTCTAAGAATGATGAATCAACAAAAATTTTGCTTACTGTTAATCTCGTCGAGGGAAAGTCCACTGCTGCCGCCATATTCTTCAGGCAACATTTTCTGTGGTACATAGTCGTACAGTGTCTTTAGGTCGGAGTGGACGAAGATCTGGAAATTTTGATTATTCGTCATCAATTAAAAACGATGCAGCGGTTCTCTCACTTATAAAGAAACAGTAATACTATTATTAATTTATATTTGTGTTCCAGCAAGAACTTTTATTATCAATGTCAAAGTCAAATAATCATTTATTCCATAGGTAAAATTTTTACACTTGAAAACGTCATTTTTTAAGCTACTGCTCGTTCACTACGCTGACCTCCCTGAGAAGAACGAGCAAGAAACTCTAGGGACTGCTCTTTTCAAATAAACTTAAATGCTATGGAATACACTTTGAATCATAATTGTGTGGAATCTAGACTCTTGTTGTCTTGTACAATAATTTGTTTGTAAAGATGATTTATAATCAGTCAGCCATAACTATGGGACTAATCCCGTTCTCTCCGTCCGAAACAATTACTGTCAAATAAGTAATATTCGACTAAATCAATTTAGTAGCAGTAGTGCTACTTGTGAAAGAGTTCGTCCAGGTAGGTGCCACCTTACCTATTTCTGCCGCCAAGCAGTGACGTGAGCAATACTTCGTTCCGGGGCATTGCAACTGTTATGGACAGGCATGTAGCTTACTATCAGGCTTACGACTAGTTCGTCCCGTCACTTGATATTATAAAAAAAAATCAAAAGACAATGTCAAGTATGAAGCTTCATTCGCATCATACGTCTTTAAATTTGGTCGGGACCGGACCTGTAAAGAGCCCGAAACGAAACAAGATTGGAATAAACAAATATTGTTTCTTGAATTGAGATAGACAGAATTTATGGACCTCTAGTCAGACTTCATACCCTTGGTATAATAATGCCACGCGTTTGTCACATGAAAGTCATAAAAATAATACCAACTGCACTAAAATTTTTTCATGACAACAAGTGACGGGACGGACAAGACGTACGTCTGGTGGTAAGCAACACGCCTGTCCAATAGCAGCTGCACTGGCACTCAAAGCTTTAAATTGCAAAGATCTGAGGGGCACTGTCACAGCACCCGTCATCCTAAGACAGAAGTTGACAAGTCCCATGTGTCTCACCTTCACCTTTCTCTTCAAAACCGGAACGAAGTAATGCTCACGTTACTGCTTGGCGGCAAAAATAGGTAAGGTGGCAGTACTTCCCATGATGAACTCTTTTACAAAGAGCTCCATACTGTATACATAATTATGTATAATGTGAAATTTTATAACTCTCCGACTTGAGCATAATAAAAAGTTATCGACTAATTTCGTTTGTTCTTTAGAGTGCGACTGCATTGATACAGTCGTTTATTATAATAAATAAATTAGTTAATTAATTTAATCGCGTTTGTATCGCGTATGCATCGCCTTTGCATCGCGTTTGCATCGCGTTTGCATCGTTGCTTAAAGTCGCTTTGAAATTGTCATTTTGCAAATGCGGCCTTATACCAAGGATGCAACATTAAGATAAAACAATGTTTGTATGTTCGTCGATTTAGGGTTCGTTTGACCTATTCATAAACTTTCATACAATTCAAAGATATATAATAATACTTACTCTCTTCTTAATCTTGTCTTTGAGGAATGGCTTCACCATGGTGATGACTGCGTCGATGATGGGCGACACGTTTACCACGTGCACTTCTTTCAGTTTTACCGGGTATGCTTCCTGTTATGGTTAAACAGAATATGAAAGTATTGTGCCACTAAAATATTTTTTTTTGACACAGGCAGTTAGGTTAAGTTCACCTATCGTTATTTCTTTTAACTTTTGTATTGATATCCTTTTTACCCTGCTGCTACTGAACACTGTTTGTAGTTGAGACGGTCTACAACTAATAGTCCTAGGTAACATGTTATTTATACTGTACTTAAACACTATAATAATAATAACAACGCAACACACTCATAGCCCCGCACTAGGGAAACCCTGTATCGCAGGTGCTATGGACCACACACAGACAATCACAAATTACACCCAAACTCACGAGAGAAATAAATGTAGGCTATACACATATTTCTTCCGGCCTGGAAATCGAACCCAGGACCTCTACGTGGCAGGCCGGCATGGTAACCGTTCGGCCAATGAGGCAGTTAGACACTGTTCGGTGATAAATCAAGTGATTAATTATCATCGTAATTGTATGGTAACGCGTGTCGGTTCCTTTGGCGTGGTGGCGCCACGCGTTGCACTGCATTTATCGGAAACCCTTAATTAGGATATCTGCTGGAAGTTGTGGAACAGCGCTGCTAAGGACAACATACGAGCACGAAACCCACCTACGCCTAATTACCGTAGCCATTTCGGTGTTCTCAGTCTAATTACCGTAGCCATTATTTTGTCTTGCTCATTATATCCATTAACATTAAAATATGAAAACTTTAACCCAAAATATTAATATATCTAAAAGGCCATTAGAATACACAAAATAGTTTTCGAGTTATTAAGCCAGAAATAGTTTATGGAAAACGGTAATTAGATCTAATTATCGTAGCCATGGATACGACAAGAATTTTAATTTTGAAAATTTAAATAACATGTGTGTATTGTAACAATAGCAGTAACGAAAATTTGATTGAAGTGGAATAAAATTTGTTGATTTTTTTTTAAAAGCGTAGTCTATGTGAAAATAGTTGTTTTTTTATCTCCATATTTTAAGATTTTTTTGTCCATATTATATGTACATATTTTGTAGTTTATACTGCATATTTATCCGAGCCCTACTTATTATTATAATATCTGTTCTGCAGAAGTCAAGTTGTGACAAAATGGTAAATAAATTCTGTAATGTGTTGCATGGTCGTCGTATGTAATTCCGTTTTTCCTTTTCCGATTTTTTTTGTGCAGATCTAAATCTTCTGAGGTTTCTTTTTTAATATTTTTAAGATTTTAAATCTCAATTTTTTATAATTATTACGATAGTATGTATCACGACCCTTTTGTTATACCTGTAGAAGGTGGATATGGTCTTTGGTGGCCCAATGGTTTGTAGTGTGGGCATTGGATGTGGAGGTACCGGGAGTAAACTTTTCTAAATTGGTTCTGGTCTGGGTGTTCTGGGTAGTGCCCCAAAGTAAATTCGGTTGCTCTAGTATTCATAGTACAGGGGATTTACTAGTTTGAGACCAAATAATTGCTGTGGTTGTTTCGTACAGGGTCAAGAGCATGTCAAGCTTGATACTTAAGATTTAAGTCCAACTCTATGCCGGTTACGATAAGAACGGTCCCAAGTGTCAAGCTTGACGTGCACTTGACTGTACATTATTATTATAATACACTTACCTGAACGCAAATAAAGAACTTCTTTACGTGGCTAATGGAGATTTTTGCCAAATGGCTGGGCGAGACAACGGAAGCGTCCAGTATGAACACATCGCCACCAATTCCTTCACTTTCTTCCATAAGTCTGACGTCTCCGTACATCATTGCTACTTTGAATGCATTATTTAGGTAATGGGCGTCAATGGTGTTGGTCGTTGCTGTAAGTTCAATAATTATACCTTTTTTATAAAAAAAAACTTCAAAAGTTTGTAGGAATTACATCTAGTTGCCAAGGTAAGTATATTGAAAACGGTTAACGGAAAGTGGTTGAAATCTAATAAACCTGATTTATTCCCTATTTTGCTTTCCTTAGAAGAGGAATATTTGCTTAAAATTTAAGTGGCACGATACTGAGGTGCTCTCTTTCCAAAAAAAAAAAGAATCATTATAATTGGTTTACAAACAGTACGGCCGGAGTATTCGTGTAACATACACACGAAACACAACTAGAGTGTTGCTGGGGTTGCCGCTGTACTGCAGCGCATCAGGCATGAGGCATGTTCGCAGAAGCTCATACGGATGGCTATGCACTCTTAGAAAGAGAGCTGCCTCGTTGCTAAGCTACACTATTTCAGTTTTAGCCGCAGTTCAAAGATTGTTTTCTTTTCTGATTTTGCCAAAACGGAGAATCTTCCTAACACTATTAACACAGGTTTTGTACCTAGAATAGGTTATGATGGTTCAACTTTTGTCTGCCCATACAATCGAATTGTACCTTATTGTAGTCATCTAGTTTAAGTGCTGTATGTTTAAATTGAATAAATTTATCATTATTATTATTATTAAGCCATATCCGTGGCAGCTCAAATGACGTTCTTCGTATTGTGGCTGATAGGGTTGACTGCCCGATCATGCTTCATTGCAAGAGACGGACCGGTGGTAGATCCTGATGGGACTCCATACATAATTGTGTAAGTATTATAAGATTATGGACTGTATATGTCTGAAATAAATGAATTTTCATTTGATTTGTAACTAAAACTGTCTAGTCGGTTAAAAAGTAAAAGTGTTTTATATTCATGATCACGAATTAATTTCCGATTTGTAATAATCGCGAAAAACTAAGAACTCGATACTAAGAAAGTGGTCAAAGAGTCAGATGTTCAGCAGGTCTTACATTATGATAAGGGATCTTAGACACGCTAAGCTTGTTTCGTCGGTTAAAACAGTCAGGCGTTTCAAATTTAACTGCCTCCGTGGCCGAATGGTTACCATGTTGGACAGCCACCCAAGAGGTCCCGGATTCGATTCCCGTGTGGGGAGAAATATTTGTATGGTCCACATTTATTTTTCTCGTGACTTTGAGTGTAATTTGTGATTGTAGACATTCAGTGTGTGTGTCTATGGCACTAACAATACAGGGTTTTTTTAGTGCGGGGTTTTAAATAATCTCAGAGTACTAAAAAAACCGACCTCAAAAGTACGTGGAATTACATATAATATATATTACCAAGTTTTATTGAAATCGATTACCGGAAAGTGTGCAAACCCGGATACATCCCCTAGTTCGCCACTATACGGGACTTGACACAGGAGATAATATAATAAAAATCGGTTCTCACTACTCAAAGTATACTTAGAAAGAAAAACGCCTTGAATTGGAGAATAGCAAAATCAACCATTAAAATAATTGCTCCTTATAATAAAATTTAGGCGCTATATATAAAAATGAATCTTCAAGCATGAACAGCCACCCTTAGATGTGGATGATTTTCGTCAAAATTAAAATGGGACCACTATGGAAGTACTCTCTTTCCAACAAAAAAGTATTAGTACTAGTACAAAAAATATTGTGTATCGGTTAATCAATTTCTAAAGAAATCTCTTTGCCACTGTAATTACCCTCATACCCCTTTAAATACAGGGTTATTTTTAAAATACGTACAACCTCGCAAAACTATATTACTAACATCACAAACAACAACTTTTGTTCCATGATTTTTAATCATTCGTCAGATTTTACTTTCATACAAAAATAAACACATTTAAAATGTTGTGCAATTTAGATAAGAACTTCACCAAATTGAATTTATAGTGTGTTACATTGTAATAATTGTAAGTGAACCAACAAACTATAAAAAAATAAAAAAATAATATACTTTAAAGTTTCAATTCGAAAACAAATATCTATAGTATTTTCAGTAAATGATACTAACCTCTGCAAAACGTCACTCGCCGTCCTTTTGGTGTAAGTCCTGGTAATGGTGCACCTTGACTGAAATTTCAGAAAAGTTTGTATTAAATTACATTTATTTTTAATGTGAAGAAATAACGTACACAACTTAGAATAATAACGCATAGAAACCTAGTCCGCACACGCTAAGTGAGGCAAATTGAAGCGCTCCCAATGGGCCTACACGAGCGGGCGGGCCTTCAGTGCTCAATGTCAACTTGCACCGCGAACAGATCAAGAATTTTAGCTAAAAATGACGAAATGTGCGGTAAATAAGTGTAAAAATACGTCAGACAAACATAAAATAACGCGTTTCAACTTGTATTTTCATATAAATATTCACTAAAACCGAAAATTAACCTACTACTAAAACTAGCCTACATGAATTTGATTTTTGCCTCACTTGTGACAGTTCGTTTGATATGAAACTATCATTCTATGCGTTATTATTCTAGGGTACACAATATTTTTTTACTTGTAAGGAAAGAGAGGAGGATAATTTTTTTTCACCTCACTAGCTCGGAAGGCTTTTTTTTCTCTACTATAGAAAAGGATTTTGAAATTCGAACTTAACGATGGACTGTGGTGTACCTAACTTTTTCTTTTGATGAAAAAAAAGACAATGACACGTTCAACTACGCGATTTGCCATACATTACTTATTTATGTAATATAAATCCTTTGGTATATTTTATTTTTATTATTGTTGTCGTCAAATTGAAAAAGATAACTAATTGTGTTTATTAAATTATTTTATTTCGTCGAAGAACTGAAATAATTTCAATAATCACTTAATCATACGAAATAAAAGTACAAGCAAGAATAAAAATTTGTTAGGTGTAAATTCAGGACGAAGATAAATTTTTCTTTTAAGTAATTTAAAAAAACTGATGTTTCATAGTTCAACTGTCTTTCTTTCATCTACCAATTCCCTCGCTATAGTGAGGTGAAAAGTTGTGTGTTTCACTCGGCAGCAAAGTTGTTTTGCGTCTCGTGCCTTGAAACCCTCGCTACGCTCAGGAATCTATTTTTGAACCGGTCTGCAACCTCTAAACACTACATATCGCACTACTAATACAATAGTGTGTTAACTCAAAATGTTAATTTACTCAGCATAGCTGAAAAACGAATTGCTCCGTTCCTGTGAAAGCTTATTATAATTTATGTTTAAGTAAAAATTCATTACATATCTGATCAATTTCCTACTTGCCAAATAGAAGTATATTTAAAAATAAATGAAAAATAATTTCATATTTTTGAGTAAGGACTGTTTTGTCCTGAGCTCACAAAACGTTTGTCTCATTCTGAGTTAAGTAGATATATTTTAATGGTTTTTTATGACAATTTTATTGACATGTAGAGAAACAAATTTTACGTTCAGAAATGGTATAATCTTGAATTTCACATTTTTTGAGTTACAACACTATTGTATTAGTAGTGCGATATATTTACATTTGTATGTGTTTAAAGATTTGAGTTTAGGATCGCTCGTCCCATGGGTCTGTTACAAAGTAATCTTGGGAAGCCTATACAGGTAAATAGCATAAAACGAATGTCACGCGTTGAGAAGCAAGAGCCTAGTTCTTAAGAGTTGATACTACCTCTGCTGGAATTAAATTTTTTCCCGGTTCATTTTCGGTCGAGCGGCAAGGACACTGGCTTGATTTCAGAATAAATATTTTAACAAACTAAGTTAAAGCCCTTTGAAAAATATATAGCGTATACTACGCGTGTTTTATTTAGTTTAGTTGAAATTGGTATATATAAAGTACCTATTCACTGCAGCGGTTTTTTTGTAAAATTTCGAGGTAAGTTTGTGTTTTTTTACTATCGTGAAAATTTTTAGGAATCGTGTTTTCACACAGTGTAGTAATCAGTGTACATCCTCAATTTTATACTATATATTTTTTTTTCAAAGTGATTGATTCAAAGCTTTCGCTGTTATGCGGAATCAACCAAAGCCATTTGAGGTTGACTCTTAAGTAAGGAAAAGTCAATAAAAATGAATACGGAATCCTGATGTCCGATATGCTTTTACTGTGTTTTACTGCACGGATGTTTTTAATTATTTGCTTATGAAGCTGACGGTATAACAAATAAGTAAAGCTTTGCAGGTGCAATAAAAACTGGCATAATTCCATATCTCTGTTTATCTTTATATATGCTGTCTATATTAACTTCCAATTTATCTTTTATCAATGCAAAAAAAGAACAAAAATGGGAATATTCCGAATCTTCCTGATAAAGCAATGTCAATTTTATCGGTAAGTACATAAAAGCGTGTATGTTAATGATGAAATATATTAGTTGGCTATTTTACACTTGGTTATCTAAATGAAGCGTTAATGTTAACATTAAGAATAAATATATGTTTAAATAAATTTGTATAATAAGTAGTGTAGAGCTACGTGTGAAAGTGTTCGTGAAGTATTGCAACCTAACCTATATCTGCCGCCATGGAGTACATCACCAGAAACAGAAACGAAATAAGTGTGTGGAGGTGCTGCTGGTGCTGGGGGCGTTCTGGGAGATTGTAAAGGTGTGTAGCCTGGATAGCAGTAATAGCCTCCGCAGCCTCCAACATCTTATTTAGTAAATTTAGCAATTCAAACGTTGAAAGTCCCTTTTATAGATATTTAATCGGTTTATTTATTCGGTTTCAACAAATATAATCTTTAAAATGTAAACTGTATAAATATAGCTAGTAAACGATTCAAAAAGATAAATAATGGTCTGTTCGCTACCGCGGTCGCGCAGAGAGTGACGATGGAAAGAAACAAAATCAGAATGCGAGGTAAAATGAAACAAATTTAAATTTAAATATGAGTAGAAGATGAAAAAACGATACGATACGAATGGAGAGAGGCGATACAAAAAGGTGGGATGACGGTATAAGGAGGTCACACCGTCACAATGGCCATACATTCCTGGTAACTTATCAGTGATACATCACTTATAAATATCAATTCTCGTTTGCACTGAAATAAAGACAGACCAACAACCTGACCTGTGTGTATGTCTCCGTATAGTCCAAAAATATTCTGTATTTATTGTAATAAAGATTATATCTTTAACAATGGCGTGTTGTTCCATTCGCTGGTGTGGGGAAAAACAGCAAAACATCTAATTACAGAACAAAGAAAATCAAATTTCATCGGTAATTCAATATTGAATATTATGTAATTTTGCAATTTTCATCCATTATAGCAAAAGCTCAAGTTAACTGGTCTGTTCGAAGTGAAACAATTGACGACGCCCATTGACGACACCCGTCAATTGTTTTGAATTCGGGTTGGCCAATCGGAGCGTCACAGTAATGATATAGCAAAATAGTTCTCAAACAAATGAAATGACATTTGGTCTCTATTTTTACTGACTTCAAAAAAGGTGGAGGTTCTCAATTCGACTGTATGTTCTTTTTTTTTTCTTTTTTTTGTATGTATGTTACGCGATACTTCCATAGTGGTCCCATTTCATTTTGAAGAAAATCATCCATATCGAAGGGTGGCTGTTCACATATGACGATTCATTTTTATAAATAGCGCCTAACTTTAATTTAGGAGCAATTACTTTAATGGTTGGTTTTGCTATTTCTCCAATTCAAGGCGTTTTTCTCTCAATATACTTTGAGTAGTGTCGTAGTGAGAACCTATTTTTATTATCTCCAGTGTCAAGTCCTGTATAGTGGCGAACTAGGGGATATTTCAATAAAACTTTGCAAATAGACATAACTCCACGTACTTTAGAGGTCTGTTTTTTAGTACTTTGTACTGAGATTATTGGTTATATACTCGATGTCTGCCACCAAGCAGTACTCTGAGGATTACTACGTTTTGTTTTTGAAGGGTAAGGGTGTTAGGAAAATTACAATCACATGAGACTATTCAACTTATGTCTTAGCGAGTCGAGTCTGTCTGATCGAGACAGCAACCTGTTATGGACAGACGTTTCGCTTACCACCAGGCGCATGACTTGTTTGTTCCATCACTTGATATCATAAAAATAAAGAAATGTATAGGCTGTTGAAAAGGCTTCACGTGCAGTTATAATAGTAAAATAATTAAGTATAAAAGCCAAACTCTAGAACTAATTAGTTTTTGCCTAGTTGATTAATTTACGTCATGTCGCTTTGTGTACAAGTGTAAAATGTATGTACGTGTGTTGCAAACTTACTTTCTTAAAATATAATAAGAAGGAACATTTACTTCCAGTACTAAAACTTATGACAATGAGTAATGAATTTTGTATTATATAATATTGTGGATCTAAGTTGAAAATCACATTTAAATAAATATAACGCCGTATAATAGTAGTTTATGTGACTGTTACATAATGAATTAAAATACGAGTGTGAGTTTATGAAAACGTTTTATTCATAAAAACATCACACGAGTGTTTTAATGCCTAATTATGTACAGTTACGTACACTGCTTTATCTATACACATATTATAAGCTCTCTATGATGTGTTCAGGAACCGCATGATACGGCTGGCGAAATGGCGGCAAATTTTTAGAGGCTTTTCTCATGCACATCACGCAACCGTAGTTCTTTTTAAATTTATAGACCCCAACCTCTCGACCCTTAGGGCGCGTTCCCATTATGTCGTAACGTTTTATTTATCGTTGGACGACATTCGCATCTAGCATGTTCCTATATCACGACTATCTGTCGTGATTGCGTCGTGGACGTTTATTTTATTGTAGAACGACTATCGTGTCCAGCTGTTCCCACTGGATCGTGATGAGAAATTATCGGTTCACGGCAGGTGCATTGTAGAAGCTGCGATTATCTGTCGTCACATTTTTATCGTGACGTTTTATTTATCGTCAGACGAGTGTCGTTCTATCTTTTCCAATTGTCACGACAGTCTGTCGTTGTAACGTCAAAAAAGTTGTGAACGACAGTTAATCGTGTTGTTCTATGAGTGAATAACTTCATTTAAATATACAAGCCACTATACTTTACACTGCACGACCGTCTGTCGTCACGTCATAATGGGAACGAGCCCTTAGGGTGACAATGGATTTCGCTCGTACATATTATAATTCTATCATGTTTGTGCTCACTAAATGGGTCTCGACGAATTGTTAAAATAGCTTATATATGGTGACTTTTTTGACATTTTGATGTAGGTACACTGTTTTTTTACAGATTTCAAAGACAGAGGAGGTTCTCAATTTGACTGTATATTTTTTATTTATATATATTACGTGATAACTCCCGGCATTTGTGAACCGATTCTGATAATTCTTTTTTTGTTGGAAAGAGGATATCTTAGAAATGGTCCCATTTAAATTTAAAGAAAATATTCCACCTCTAAGAGTGACTAGCTAGGAGTTGAATGACTTTTCATGTCGGTTTTTTTAGTACTCTGTACTGAGATTGTGTATAGTATTTAAAAATATATATATTAATTGCTTACGCTCGTTTAAGAAGGTCGTCGAGTTCAGGTCTATCGACGTCTCGGTTAGTGAAGAATTCAGGGCAGGCAGCACGCATGGTGAAATACATGTCCAATTTTCGCTTAGCCTTCTCCAGGGAAAAACTGCAGCCGCGAAGAAAGGACATTAAGCACGTGTCGCCTAAAAGAGATAAAAAGTAAAAAACGTGAGTCTCTGTCGCAGATGTCAGTGGCCGATTTAAGTGAAAAATTTTCATAAATGTACTGTGACACTCATGTAAGAATGGTAATTTCTTTAAATTCCTCTTTCAAAGGCACTTTGGGGTTATATGAAATCTAACCACACATGTTTTTCTATTAATATCGGCGCTATTACCCTAAACAAAATGCCGTATGGCATCAAATTTTCGTATTTTCGTATACACTGCAGAGCTGAGTCTGATACAGATCTACAAGGTTAAATTTCATTTCTAACTACTACGTTTGTGATCATCTGTCTAACATTGGGTAAGTAAATTTAAAAAAAAATTACACACAATTGACGGCAATAATAAGTGGTTAAAAAAAGTTTAGTAGCGGTAATGTCAACATTACAGTGTTCCGGCTTAGAAGGGTAAGGACTTAGAATAATAACGCATAGAAACCTAGTCCGCACACGCTAAGTGAGGCAAATTGAAACGCGCCAAAAGGGCCTACACGAACGGGCGGGCCTTCATTGCTCAAGGTCAACTTGCACCGCGAACAGATCAAGAATTCTAGCTAAAAATGACGAAATGTGCGGTAAATGGGTGTAAAAATACGTCAGACAAACATAAAATAGATACTAACATCACATTCCACAAGGAAGTAACGCGTTTCAACTTGTATTTTTGTATAAATATTATATAACCTACTACTAAAACTAGCCTACATGAATTTGATTTTTGCCTCACTTGTGACAGTTCGTTTGATTTGAAACTATCATTCTATGCGTTATTATTCAAGGGTAAGGGTGGAATTACCGGCAAATGAGACTTGTCAAGTTTATGTCTCAGAATGACGGACGCAGTGGCAGTGCGCCTCAGATCTTTTTGCAGATATAAAGCTCTGAATGGCACTGTAAGTGTAGTTTACCATCAGGTGCACGACTTGTTCGTCCCGTCACACACACAAAAAAAAAACAAAAATCGATCTTTGTACTAGTAATTACACACAATTTATTCAACAAACCGTTGTTAATCAACCGGGATCATTTATTTGCTACAATACTTACTCCATTCATCAGGTAAATGTGGTTGTTTCTTTAGCCACTCCTTAATGATGGCAAGATCTCGGTCTCTTGTGTTGACGTTTTCGTTTAGATCTATTCTGATCTGCTTCCACATCTCGCCCGTTGGCTGGACTAGAGTCGCTGCCGAAGCCATCTCTTTGGGTCTTCTGGAAAACATTACAGTACATTGCCTAACAATGTAAAAGATTTTGATATTGATATGGATTGTGCAGTATGCCAAAAAGTAAATAGAAAAGGGTTTTCTACAGTCACGTTAATGTATACACCGTTGATTGTACCGTACACTGTTCATTGTATATTTTATATTATATTTTATTTTAATTATTGGAAGACCAACGCCTGTCTTATAGAATAAAAACTCAAATAATCATGCAGAACCAATTATAGATCCGCACCGATAAACTCACAATAAGTTGATTAATGAGCATTACATTATAACTAGTAACTATACTATATAGGTAATGACATTTTTGCAACACTTAGTAATTATTTACTCGCCAAAAAACAAACTACTGATATGACGCTTCACCGATGCAACACTAGTGTTAAAAAGGTCAATATCAACCTACTTGGACAACGCATTGAAGCTATTACTGGCACGCAAGAGACAGGCATTCCGCCGAAAATTCGAACAGGCCTGAGGTACGCACAAAAGTGATTTTTTTTTAGAGTTTCTTGTTCATTCTTCTCAGGGGAATCTGCCTCACAAATGTCAGTACGACGATTTCAAGTGTAATTTGGTTACCTATGAAATAAAGATTATTTTGAATTTGACTTAGTTTTCTACGTTCACCGGAGATCGAACCCGGGACCTCAGAGATGGCAACACCATGAAACCGGTGTGCGAGCACGCGGAGCTCGTCATACAATTTTTCTCAAGGAGATTTCTCTTATTATTCTTTCAATACAAGAAACAATATAATTTCAATTGAAAAAAGGCTTCGTTCAAAGGTAAAATATTTAAAACAATTTGAATAAAGCTCGACATATTTGGTGGAAGCTTAAAAGATAAGTGTCCATTATGGTAGGAATATACTCTACATTAGGAAATAGGCGTGGTACGTAAACCTTAAAGCTTGTTCTGTTCAAGGTCACTTTAAAACCGGTTGGTATCATTTTTAGATTATGGTACGTTTTCGTAGATAGCTTGATTTGTGACGATGAAACGACCATACTAAAACTAATAGATTCATAGGGTCGTATTCCAGAACTATGCTCAATGCTCAAGTCTGTACTCGAGTATGATTTAAAGCACAAGAAATCATACTCAATTTCTTGCCATTAGGGTCATATTTCCAGAGCTTGTAATCATACTCAAGTTCTGACTTGAGCATTGAGTAGAGTTCTGGAATAAGACCCATTGACTGCTTCGAGTTTATGGGTGTTTTTTTTATTACTGTTAACAAAGTAGAATAGTATCCATTCAACGTTGAATTTTGAAACTAGATGCATAATACAATGAAATCGAATTTAAATTCGAAAAAGCGAGAGTTTCGTTTAATGACGGTATTGTTTTCAATGTGCGACATGTTGTTAAAAACACGACAAGTAACAATAACCTTGTGAATAGTAGTAGTCTTTACCGGGTAAAATATGGACTTTCTTGGCCAGAGAAAGACAGAAGATGCATTAATTTGAGATGTGGAGCTGGAGAATACTGCAAATGTCATGGAAAGCTAAACCCACCAAGACATTGGTCATATCGCTGGTAAAGTCGCCTAATCATCTTGCATCATTATCAAGTTTTATTTTGTTTTGGCCACTTATGAACATCAGCCTTGAAAAGCTAATAGTGGTGGCAAATATTGAGGCTAAGAGAGCGAGAGGCCGATCTTGAACAAGACGGACAAATTAGATGAAGGAACTATAGCATTCCGCTTTTATATATTGGCAAGATTGGCTGTAGACATGAGCTGATGGAGACTGTTCACTCCAAAATTAATACTCAGATGGTCACCATTCTGCATTTTGTGGGAATGGCTAGGGAAAGAATTCAATCAAATAAATTTTAATTTTATACAAGTATTTCAAATGTTTAAAAATTATTAGAAAACCAATTTTCAGCTTTGTTAGCTAGGCTAACAAAAAGTAATCCAATTTGGAAAAGATAAATATTGCATTTTGGACGTGTGTGTTTCTGGCATATTTGCAGAGTACAAAATGTCTTGTTTACAAATGCGAGGTATGTCAGGGCTGTCAAAACTTACGAAAATTCTCGAACTTGTATGAAAATTTACCGATTTATGGGGATGTACTGGAAAAAAGTGTTTTTTCTATCAATGCTCATACTGATTCTCTTCTTCTTGTGGCGGACCTTGGGCAATAATCGGACAGTACCTTACGCCTCGATTGGCAAGTCTTTTCATTATGGTGTGTGCTACCTATACTATTAGAAAAAGAAGAAGAATATTCATTGGACCAGCAACGTGTGGAATACTGGCATAATGCCGTACAATGCGGTGAAATTATAGTTGCAAAGCCCTCAAAATAAAGAGACCAATAACATTGGCGCTTCTTAAAAAGATATCGAATACTTGTTTAAAGATTTTTTAATTAAAATTAGAAAATGCTCGAATGAGTACTTTTGTGCACCCCTTGCTTATTGAATGTATTAAAAATTCTGACAAGGGCCTTTCTTATTATCTCGAAGCAACGAAACAGGTAATCAAACACTTGGAAATCACGTTTAAATTTAATAAAAAAATATGTATATGTTGATATTTCCGCGGCGTGCGTCAACACAATTGACGTCTTTGACGGCCTCGGTGTTCACCGGTTTGCACTATAGCCGTTGGGTGAGGACGTCCTTGGTTCGATTCCGGTAGGACTAATTTGAGAAATTAACTTCTTTAAACTTGACTTGGTCTGGGTGTAGTGAATTCCGTTGCATTATATTATGGTGCTCATAATATAAGGATTTTGAACTTGTTTGAGAGTTTTTTGGTGTAATTGTCAGACACAATATTATTTTTGATATTTACATTAGACTCTCGCCTCTTCTCGCGACTCAGGTTCACGAACCGGCGAATAATATGTGCCGTATCAAACAAAACCGTTTTTATGTCGCCGCTTAAACCCAACCGCCTCAAGCTGCTAGCGAGGCTGACTGACATTAACTCGGATGATTAATTAATTAACTGAAAACATTATTATTATCAAATTAAGGTTTTGAGTTTACATACAGTTGGAATATTATTGTTCTAGTTAATAATAATGATGTATGAAACTTATTTACTACCTCAGGGGGACCTGAGACTAGGGGGTCATAGAGTAAATGCCTGAAACAATTTTCATATAAAAAAAGTGATGGTACCAGTAGGTACTGAAATTGCACCAAAAGATCCATATGTTGAGATAAATTGTGTTCAAAAAATAAACTGTACTCGTATGATGTAATTTGTACCCTCTAACATGTATCTCGAGTCTATTTTTCTATATAAAAGTAGTTCGAATTTTCTGGATTTTGGATGCGGTTCGGGTTCTATCAACCGGGGACCTAGACGTAGGCAAGGGTTCTACCCCTATGTTGTGAATAATCCCAAGATTCGCACGGCATTGGAGTGCAATCCCCTGTAAGAAATTTTGTTCCGTGAACGCTATAACTTGGGCCTTTTCCAGAAGAGTGTGAATAGGTATTATATAGGTATACATGCTTCGTTGTTAACCTCATCGACAGTTTCCATCAGGTGAGAAAACAAAAACAGAACAGAGTTGAATCCATAGATTTTTGGATACAACTTTGAGTCTTAGGATTCAAAACCATTATCAAAATTTTGTTCCAGATTTATTTCCGGATGTCAGATTTTTTAAAATATATTACTGCAAATTTGAATGCTATGAATGTATACATACATTTTAAGACTTTCATGGTTATTCACTACATGATTATCACGAATATCAGGTTTTAAGATTAAGTTTAAGTCAACCCGTGACCATGGAGCGTGCAACTGTTCCGAAATATCGGGAAAATAAAAAGAAGCTATATATGTATATTTCGTAAGGTACATTTTTCAACAAAGAATTTTGCGAAATAGTATATCTTTAGGTGCAGCCCGTCGTACGTAATAGTTCCTTATAAATATTGATAATATAGATAAAGGCTCAACCTTTTAGTCAACAAACTGGTTGTAGGAATTTCGGTAATATTTTTTACCTTCTAGATAATATTTAATTATGAAAATGTATGATTCCAAGGTCTAAGATCATAATCGGAAAAGGCAAGCCGTGGTAGCCTAATAGTTTGACCTACCGTCTCTGAAGCGTGCGTTGGAATCGTTCGCATCTCTGAGTTTCCGGAATTTATGTGCGTAATCTAATTCGAAATACCATTACTTGATTTTTAATTCGGGACATAGTCACGTATAAAACATATTTTAATTACCTCGACGTTTCGGACATCTTGCAACGTCCATGGTCTCGTAGGATCTGAAAAGGCGGGTGTCAGCATCTTCTAGCCGCGCAAGTTTTCTAACTACCCGCACTTGATCTTCATTATTTATTTGTGCACTAAGGTTCTCACTAGATCGACACACAACACTCATGACATCCGGCGATTGCATTACACTGATTGAAGTCCAGTTAAATCGAAGGAATTTTTCTTTGTTTTTGTTCGATCTTTTTGTATAAATATATATAACAACAAATAGTTTTTACAATTTTTTCTTGCAATCGCAAAACTTTTCTTTAAGCACACTAACGTAGTAAAGTTATACTAATTACACTTCAAAAATATAGAATAACCTATCCACTCTATATGTATTTTCTTGAAGTTTAGGTTTTCTCGTCAATTGTCATTAACCAATTGTCAAATGAATGTTTGTTGTTGTTAATAAACTTAGGACTTTGGTGGCCCATCGGCTTACAATGTGGACGCCAAATAAGATAGTCCGAATTCTGGTAGGACGAATTCGGAAAATTAACTTGTCGAAATTTTTTCTGTTCAGGGTGTTACTGCTGAAACGCGGAAGCCGAGGTCGTACACCACGCTCTGAGTGCCCCCGTACGGGGAGGAGCATAGGGAACTACTAGATGGCGTTAAATTTCTCAAAGTGGGTCCGGTCCACTATCGCGATCTCGTAGGCTCAGAGGCGAACTTCAGGCGGCTACGGGACTTCGCGTGGAAATGTCATGATGACGTAGAGAGACC